GAGTTTAGACTATAGCTCAATTTCTGGCTTGTGTCTAATTCCTTGTCTTTACGGTTTAGCGGCTTTGGGTTTAGGGCGTAGCATTTGTGCAAGCCTCCTGCAAAAGGGCTTAGTATTTCCACAGATCTTGCTGAACTTCAGCCCCCAAAGGCGATGAACAGTCAAGCATTTCCGGCACCCCATTACCTCTACCTTCCAAAGCGTAGGCCTGAAGCACAATGTACCCTAAACCCTGTATACACGTGCGTTTGTAATAGCCTTTTCCATACCTACATAACCCGTATATTGCGTTCAAAGGGACTTTTCATTAAGGAGTAGTATTTTATTTGGGGNNCTAGGTTCAACCACAAAAAAAAGCTACTCATTGTCAGACAAGGAGCTATGAGACGTTCCTGAACTCCACCAGCTGCGCCAAAGACGCCGCGTGCTGGAAGGAGAACCCCTAAACCCTAAGTCCCTGAACCCCTAAGCCCCTAGATCCCTAAACTCCTAAGCCCCTAAACCCCAAATTTCTGAACCCCTAAGCCCCTAAACCCCTAAACTCCTAAGCCCCTAAACCCTAAATCCCTGAACCTCTAAGCCCCTAAACCCTATATTCCCCAATATAGTAACCTAGATTACGTTCCCTCTCAGCATTAGGTGTTGGGAGTGCTGTTTTTTGGGGGGAGCACTCACTCCGCAGCAGGGTTGAACGGTTATGACTTAGGTGGACCCCCCACCCAGTAATAGTGACTATAAGGGATAGGGGGGGTATGGGGTTTAGGGTTTAGGGTTTCAGGGGTTAACCCCGTAATAGTGATTAGACGGGATAATAGGGATTATATTAGGGTCCTCTTCTATTCCTATTATACCACTATTACAGGGTGGGGGGTCCTCCTAATTTATGACAATCAAGGTTTCCAAGGATCCCCCCCCAGAATAATGCCACTGATTTTGAGGGGCCCTTGTTTGCAAGCGTGAGGGTAGGACAAGTTGAGACAACGTCCCACCACTCAAAATCCATGGAACGCAAACCCCAAGCCCTAAATTCTCAAAACTGCTGGGAGTGCCGGACAGGACAGTTGTTGCCGTGCCTGCACTGCTGCGCTGTCTAAATTCTCAAAACTCATAACACCAGCAAACCCGAGCAAGTGCTTCAATTCACGCAAGATGCCTACTTGCAGGTTCTGGGCAATTACAGCCCAATTATGGCCATTTTAGGGGGCGTTGCAGCCTTGTACTTAGGTGATAAGATTACAGGTACAGTGATGGTTGAGTTATGTGTAGCCTTAGATCGCCCGAAGGATGGAGAGAAGCCATGCTCCTGCCTCTCATCCGGCAAGTCTCGAGCAGTGAAAGCTTTGGGGCTTCGAGTTCTGCGGAAAATCGGAGCATTGTGGTTTGGAGATTGAAGGGGGGGAGGGGGTGGATTTTAGAGATGTGGTGGATGTAGTAGCTTTGTGTTAAGGATTTCGTGATCAGAGGCTTCAGGTTTCACGTCCTGAGCCTTAATTTTTTTTCGGATCAGTCTTCAGGGTCGACGTCTTGTATCAATTGGGGCTTAGGGTCTAGGGTTTACGGGCTTAGGGGCTGAAGTTTAGGGGGAATTTCACAGCAGTTCAGGCGTCCCACTGTCCCCTCTGCACACCTATGAGGTAACGCTACTCCTAAACTTCAGGTGGACCCCCCACCCACTCAGTAATATTGATTATGATGAAAAATGGTGATGACATTCATCTCAATCTCAAGTTCCTAGTGTACAACTATTACAGGGCGGGGTGTCCGACCAAAGCTACACCTAAGTTGTTTTGGCACCTGTATGTGGGGTAGCTGCGCAGTACGGGAGAGTTTCAGATAAGACGCTGCTGATGGGAACGGTTGCTTGCTTTGACGCAGCACTCTTGCAGAGCCAGTCAGGTTTGCCATGACATTATGAATAACTGTAGCCCTGCTTTGCGTCTACAAGGAGAGGGGGTTGGGAACTCTTTACCCTGGCGCTCTAATTATATAAAAGATACCTAGACCCTACACCCCACTGAGCGCAAGGTCTGATGAAGATGGACATGGACGAGCTGCTGCAGTTGGGCAGCAGCTTCAGTGAGGGCTTGGTCATGGAACATATGAGCTATAGTCTAAACTCCTCATGGGGGGGTTATATGGGGGATTATATAGGGGACTATTATAGGGGTTATTAAGGGGGATACTAGGAGTTTAGACAATGGCTCATATGCAGCCATTCAAGGTCTAAGTATCTTCTGGATGTAGAAGGACTTTTGGGTCAAACGGACTCTTCTTGATCTCATAGTTGTGTACATGCCCACATGGTCGCACAATCTCCATACAGTCCGTGAATATCATTGGATCCGAAACTTGAGATGCTAGCGCCTGGTTCTGCACCTTGCGAACTGAATCCTACATGACCCTCACAGCCCGAAGCCCCAAAGCCCAAGATTGCGGATTAGCTTACTATGCCCCCCCAGGGCACCCTTACTCAGAGTTGTATAGGTGAAGTAAGGTTAATCTGGGGGACATTAGGGATGGGTAATATGAGGGAGGGGGTGGTAACGAGAACCCAGAACAAGACGCCCACCCTACAGTATTTGAGCATAGTCTAAACTCCTAGTATCCCCCTTACTAAGCCCCATAATAGGAAACTTATATAGTCTGCTATATAAGCCCTTTGTAAGGGGTTTAGACTATAGCTCATTTGATGACAGGAAAGCGCAAAGCGCAAGCGGATTCTTCGCGGCTCCGACTGTGGATGGTGCGGCTTGGCTTTACCAAGCCTTTCCGACGGAGTACACGGGTTTGGGGTTTAGAGTTTTTGGGGTTTGGAGTGTTTGGGATTCGGGGGCTGTAGCTTCATACCGCGAAAGCAGTTGGTCTAGATTTGTTTGGATGAGGGTGTTGGGTCACACTTTGGATAGAACAGTACCCCTCCAAGGTCAGGCGGTCAGGGACCATCCTGCAACGTATATTAATATGCCGCGGCTTGCCCGTAAGTCAACAGTAGTTACAACCGACGAAGTACCTTTTTTTCCTTTCCGTTAGTGCGGAGGGTCCAAATCGGACGCGGCGCCTTGCACCTAATTTACATAAGAAATCCGACACCTAGAGCAGAGATCTCACGCTTTCAGCTGTAAGTATGCACTTTGGCGGGAAAAGGTAAACATGCTGGGATTCCCAAGAGAGGCAAGCCAGCAAAACAATTCCACAGGTCCAGCTTCAAAAGACCAGAATCAAGGGGATTAGTTTGGCAGCCCTGTACACCAAGAAGCCGTCCCCATCCCCAGTACTGAAGACCACACAAAAAGCTCACTGCCATGCTCTGAGAATCAAAAACACGTCCATGGCCATTGGCAACAATGTCTTAGGTCACCTCAAACTCGGGCACGATATGTGATGCCGGCATGCTGCTGTCCGCGTGGAGCTTGAGCGCGTTGTCATCTTGCGAATGAGCGTACATGCCCTCATTCTCCAGGATCATGGCTTGACCCTTGCTGATGGTGCCCGATACATCCATGTCATTGGGGATGGCCTCTTCCGCCGGTGCCATGATAAAGATCGATTTGCCACCATGCAAAATCACAGACATGTCCTCGTTGTCCTTGACCTTTGTCATGCTGTTGCCTATGCTGCCCAGCGTCTCAATGCCGAGCGCGATGGCCTTGTCGGCTAATGTGTTGACAGAGATCGGCCTGCCACCGTGCAAGTCCACACACACGTCACCATTGTCCTGGAGCTTGTCGTAATTGTGATGGCAGGAACCCATATGGCACAAATCGGAATTGATGTCCGCTGGATTGCTGCGCCAGGTGTCCTTGGTAACACCGCTCAAGCACAGGAAAAGCCAGCGTCCTCGACGTGCACCTTCACAAACCTCCAGCGAAAGGCCAGCATCCGATGGAGTCTAAGTTACTCCACAGAAGCGTATCGCCACCATCCCTAGTTTGCATCTCCAGCGGCTCCCATACTCCTACACAGCAAGGAGGCTCACCAGAAAAGGGATCCTCGAAGGGGAGAAGGTCTCGCACATCAATATGTTGCTTCCAATCCTCAAGCCTGACTCGGAGAGCCACGGGGAAGTACCCGTACAAATACCAAGCGCGCATCTTATCCGACTGGAAGGGGCCAAACTCAGCACCTTCTCTGTCTAGATAGAACCATGCAGGGGCCATGGCGTTCTGCATTTTCACGGGGCAATTACGCGCGGAACTGGGGCTCGACGATTTTCCAGCGCTGTTGCTGGCAATTCGGGCCCTAACCGACGAAGTACTTGTAATCGAATTATGACATGAATATCCCAAGCAACTACCTGGACCGCAAAATTATGTAAACTGATGGCCTTTATGGCTATTATTAGGGGTGTAGAGCTATTATTTTACATACTTTTGGGGGTTTAGGTAAGCATAGGAGACTTACAACAGGCCGAAGCCACAGGTGCCTGCTATATACAGTAGTTTCCCAAAATAAGGGAACCCCAATATAGACCCCAAAATACTATAGTCCTTATTATGGGTACCCCCAAAAAGGGTATCCCTAATTTTGGGAAACCCCCATACAGTGTGGGAGGGGCGAGTGTTCCGAGGTCAAAGGGCAGAGAACAGCTTATCTCTGCCAGGGTACCCATATTAGCCATGGTCTAAGCTCCTTAAAGGGGGGTTTAGGGTTTAGGGTGGTTATAAGTGGATTATCATAGGGGTTATTAACCGGGATACTCAGAGTTCAGACAATGGCTCATATGTTTTAGGTCCTTGCGAATACCACGTTTCGGCGCCGGCTAACTGGCCCATTTTTACAGGTGAATCTGCCGTACGCTCCGACGGACGCCCTGAAGGCGAAGAGTCTGGGAAGCATTTCAGACGTGGGTCCTTTTTTCAGTCTTCCAATGTCAAATAAGTGTGGGCAAGATCTGCTTGGAACACAGTTTAGGGTTACGGGTTGAGGGATTAGGGTCCGAGAAATAACGAGAAACGAAGGCTCCACAAGAAGAACACGCCCAAAGAAGTTTTCGGACCATGTGGATTAGGGTTGGATACAGGTGTCGAGCCTGGGAGGCTTGCGGACGATGGCTTGTTGCTGAAGTGGAGTTTCCAGGGCAATTTAAAGCGACCTCACCCGACCTCACCCTAAATGGTAGTTTATTTAGGGACTGGCACCAAAATGGCCTTAAATTGAGAATTGCAAGTATTCTGAATTACCCTGAGTTAAGCGGTTTGTGTTTCTCATGTTTCGAGTCTTTTTCTTCCCTACTGATGAGGGTCAGCATCCACATGCTAGCTAGCTGCTGTCCTGGGTTGCTGTTACGGAACTTAAGTTAAGCTACCATAATGGGCGCGCATATATACATATATAATGTGTATATTACTAAATAGTAGGCTTTCCTCAATATAGCAACTTAAACTAAGTTCCTCAGCAGCAACCCACTTTCTTGTCATGCCGTCCCGTGCCTCCTTGGATTTGTGGGTTATCAGGGCTTTTGCTGTCTTTGCAGGGCAGTGCTGCTCTCCGTGGATTGCAGCTGATCCCATCACATATGTGTAGCTCAGCACAGGTTCAAAAGTCCGCATACTTTCATCACGCATCAGGGTGATGAGGGCCCATAGGTAGGGGCTCGTTCTATTTGAGGGGGTTCCCTTGAATCAAAGGCCGTTCCAGGACATTCTGCAAAACAATCTTTAAAGCCTAAACCCTAAATCCTAAACCCTAAATCCAAAACCCTGAGCCCTTAGCCCTAAAACCTAAACCCTAAAATGCCTGGGAATCCGTCAGCCTAAACTTGAGCCTAGCCTTCAGGTGTAGGCCTTGAGGTTCAGTTCAGGGTTTAGGGTTGGG